CCCCCCCCCCTTCATCTGGCTGAACTCCTCACCCTTGGTGACCCGCCCGGCCCACACTGCCAGCTGAGCTCCTTCCACACTTGCTGACTGGGCTGTGCACTGGCACTTACGTCACTGCCACACTCAGTGTACCCATCTTGTCCTGAGGACAGTGTTGGGCTCCTGGAGGACAGGCCATGCCCCCTCCATCCTGTGAGCCGAGGGAAACATCCTCTGCCTGTTTCAAGGGTACATCACCGTCATTAAGAACACAGATTTAGCGCCCGGCCGGGCGTGGCTCAGTGGTTGCGCGTCAACCTAGGATCCAGGCGATCAGGGTTCGATTCCCGGTCAGGGCACATGCCCGGGTTGCAGGCTCAACCAATGAATCTCTCGTCATTGATATTTTTATCTCTCTCTCTCTCCCTCTCCTTTCCTCTCTCCGAAACCAATAAAGATATATTAAAAAAAAAAAAAGAAAGAAAGAAAGAACACAGATTTGGCATCACATAGACCTGCCATTTCCCAGCTCGGGGGCCCTGGGCAAGTAAGCTCACTCTCTGAGTTTCAGTTTATTTACCTGTAGAATGGGGGTGATAACATCTACCTCATCTGATCACTGTGAGGATCAAATGGGACTGTGCTTACCACTCTGCCAACTTGCAGAGGCTCCAGGACAGGGCCGAGTGATTCATCCCATGGTCTGAAATCATATCACCCACAGGGAACTGTGAGCCAGGCAGCACAGGGGGCCTCTTGGGGGCCCTTCTCCTCCCCTTCCAATGGCTTCTGAAATACTATTAGGGAATAAACTATGCCCCTACCTCCCCAAACTCATATGCTGAAGCCCAACTCCCAGTGTGAGAGTATCTGGAGATGGAGTCTTTAGGAGGTGCAGTAAGTCCTTGCTTACTGCTGTCGATAGGTTCTGCAACTTGAAGCTAAACGAATCGAAATAGAGCCTTTTACCACAGGCTAATTTACATAAACAAGAGTTACATTCCCATGGCGCCTCATCAACACTATAATGAAGTGACACGGAACAAAACATTATTCGAGGACCTACTGTAATAAGGTTAAATGAGGTCAAAAAAGTGGGGCCACAATCTGACAGAACTATGGCCTTATAAGAAGAGGAGACATTCTCTCTTTCTCTGTCACATGAGGACATAGTGAGAAGACAGATGTCTGCAAGCCAGGAGAGGATCCTCACCAGAGCCTGACTACACTGGCACCCTGACCTTGGACTTCGAGCCTCCAGAACATTGAGGAAATGAATTTCTGTTGTTTAACTGAACAGTTTACCAGATGTTGATCATCTATGGTATTTTGTTATGGGAGCCTGAGCTGACAAAGACAAATACCTTCTTGCTTTTCTGATACTTCTGGAGCCTCCTCCCCACTCAGGGCAAAACCCTGTGTCAGGGACTTGGGGGGTAGGGGTGGGG